CATGGAATTTAATTTAATTCAAAAATAGCTATAGACTAAACTAGTGATAAATGGATTTCATTCATCTCCTCATCACACAAATCCTCCCCCTTCTCGTCATGCTTCCATTTATTCTATTTACGACAAGATGTGAATCCATTTTGCTAAATCACTGCTGCTAAAATTTTGTCATTCTCATTCATTTCATGGTGTTGGAAAACATTCCTTCCACATCCATACACAAAGGATGAATGAGAGAATAATATGTTCAAAGTCATATGTCAAGACGGAAAACAAAGGAACGGCAAGGGAGGAGAAAAATAAATTAAAAACATGGGCAATGGCTTGGAAAATCGGGAAACTGTAAACGATGTTGAAATGCTGTTCTGGATTAATTTACATTTATTGTCATTGTGATGCTTGGTTGTTGTTTAAATTGGAATGGTTTTGGATTCGCTTTTGTTTGTTATTTGATGTAATTTGGGAATTTAAGTTTGAAATTTGTGCAAAAAAATGGTGTAAATCAAACATAATAATCTTGAATATCATTTTAAGTTTTTGGGATTTGAACCCTTTGCAATGTGACTTTTTAAGTATTCTTTAAATTTATAATTTATTAACTTTGTAAGAAAATCGCTGAGCGAGTTATTTAAAGGAAATGTTGTGACGTGAATGGAAACTAGCAGGGTTGTCAGATAGGTACCTTTGAAAAGGTGCCTCAACAGAGCATGGTAGCTTTTGCCTTTGTCTAGTCAACACCTGGGTATAGGCAAGCCTAGCTAAAGGCAAAAAAGTGTGTTTAGTCAAAGGTACTGACTAGCCTATACAAAGGTAATGCCTGGGATAGATTTTTGCCTTTGATAGGAATTCGATAGGTGACAACTCTGGAAACTAGTATAGAAGCCGCCGTTACAGATGTGAACGGACGGACTAAGCCCTTTTTCCTTACATAGATAGGGTAACCAGATATTTTTTTGAAAAACTAGAGGATCTGAAAGTAAAATAGGGGACATCCCACGTGTCTACCAATTTTATTCGTTTTCTGGACGTATTAGAACAAAACAAAAACAATTTTATTTTTGAAAAATAAAAATAATAGAGGACTGTTCTCTGAAAAACCAAGCAGATGGCCTCCTTATATGTAAATCATTAAAAATGTTAATTAGTCTTTTGTCACAATAATTTAAATTTACTTATGACGTCTAGAGAGGGAAAGGGGGAGGGGGGGAGAGGGGGGGTCTTTGTTCTTTCTTGAAAAATGACCGTTAAAATCGGACGTCATAAATGAACGACCCTTAATCAAGATTTTTGAGATACTTTGAAGAAATTTAACGTTTTTTTATATGCAAAATTTAACGGTTTCTTGAAATTCGAAGTCATGCTATGTAAAAATAAGTTATGCCATCGATAAAAGAAAGAAAAGTTAATTTAATTAACAAAATTAAAATATTTTTCAACAACAACAAAACACCTGCAAACTTACGAATTAGCAGCTTTCTTATGCAAAAAAGCAGAGATCTTCAAATGTTTCCAGTTCCGAGCACTTGTGGAAGCCAGCCAGCCAAACAAAGTAGAAAATACGATAAAAAGCGTTGTCAAAATTAGTTTAAAGTAAGTAATAACTCTCAAAGAACATTATTACGTTAATTAATTTAACTAAATCTCCAAATAATTCCCTCAAAAATTCTCTCATTCTCCACTTAATTCCTTTGATGATTCACACTCAATTCTTCCTCAAAAAAACTAGTCATTAAATTCAATCAATTTCTCAAGAATATAAAAAATTCAAAGGAGATCATTTTATGACATGTTTAGATATAAATATTTTTCTACCGCCTCATCAATACAAAGAGAAATTGAGTATCATAAAAAAAATCTTCTTTTCACTCCTTTTTCGTCAGTTTTCTCATCCAACCGAAATTTTTTTTTTGTTTTACAACACATTTCTTTTTTGTATTCAGCTGGATATAAATATTTATTCACAACATCTCATTGTGTATATTTATATGTGAATATGAGGAGAATTAAACAATTTGAAGGCGATTATAATTCACGCCATATAATAAAAAAAATATTTGTTGCTTGCATCAATTCCATTGTGTAATAATAATAATCATTCAACAGACAAAAAAATTTTCTTCTTTATAGTTTTTTTTTTATGAATTGAATGAAATGAAAACATCCTCGATGATATGTATCGACTTAATAATTTTTAATATTCTTCTTTGAACTACCCGTCTGTAAAGCATGTACGCACTTTTTTTTCATCTTCTTTATATTCAATTAGACTCTAGTCGGATTTTAACAGCCAAGTGTGATGTTGTCGATCATAAACGAATTAGACGGTGGAATGGATATGAAAGATATTGAACGCAATGAATCAGTGCTGTGAGTTGGAAATTTTGAATTGGAGAAGGTCGCGCAGTTTAAGAGGATCTAATGAGTCCTTTTGAGGATGTCGTTTTCATTAGGGATGTTGAAGCAGAGCGGAATCTGATATGTAGAGTTAAGTATTGACGAATCTGTCAGTGACAAAATTAAGTGTCTGTGGCTGGTCAACTATTGTAATTTTAGTTTTGTAAAGTAACAGGTTCGATTCCCAATCCACTCCTCAATAATACATCAGCATATCAATTCCCGAGTTTGAGTCCTTGTTAAAGGAAAATTCTAAATATGTGCGAATCCTTATCATTTCAACTTCTATGGGATTCAAACCCTTGTCTTCACAAAAGAGAGCCTACATAATTTTTGTCTACAGTCCATTCACTTGGGTAAGAGTGTACCTTTTTACCACGTTTTTCTTAACTTGCTTTCTCATTTATCGATATGGGCTTATCCTTTGCAGCATCAATTTACCTCAATCATAGCTCAATCACAGAATCATAGATCATTCTATAGATAGATAGATATAGATCTTACTTACCTAAAAAAAGTATGGAGAGGGCCCAGCCTTTTTGAACAAGAGGCACTGCGGTTCAAATTAAAACAGAATCTATTGTACCACACTCTTTAGACCTACAGCTTATAGTGGAATCTGAACCAATTGCAAGCTCTGCACATTGCAAAGACACGAGTACGTCTAAAGACCTGATATACCCTGCAATGCACTTAGTCACAATTCGCTAGTGCTGTAATGAAATCATCCAGATGCTAGTATATCCTTGTATACCTAGCAAAGGAGACACGTTATGTGCCCAAGACCTCAAAACTAGACGAACCGAGCTTCGTAACTAGAACGGTGAAAATGGAAACTTAAACTTGACTTGGCCTGATATTGAACCCACAATCTTTGGCACGTAAGGCCAACGCTCTACCACTGGTGCCGTTTCACCGCATTACTACCTGATTATGCTGATTAGCAATGACAAAATGCCTCTTAATACCTACTAAAATCCTCTCAACTGCAGCTTTATCCATCCTTTATAAATCGACATCTAAAGTGATCAGTTCAATCAAAATAACTCCAAATAATTACAAGAAAATGTGTTAAAAAAATCATCAAAAGTGTCAGTTATGGATGTAAAAGAAGTGAGAAGATCAAGACTAAGATATAGCGATAATTATATAGCAATCGACCAACAAAAAAAGAAGTAATAGAAAAGAGGAAAAGGTTGAATGTGAGAAATCAAATGTGCCGGTCGACTTTAAAGGTACTTCCAAATATATAAATTAGAAGAAATTGATTTTTATCTTGATTTTGGCATCATCCGATATTTATTAATGCCACTAATTGATGGCGTCACTCATCGCATAAACTCGATAATCTTTCACGTCTATCAATTTACAGTATTAAATTTTACTTTAATGGATATATCACGAATCGTGACTTAAAAGCTAATATCATCATTATTGTTCTCATTGTCCATAGTCAATTCTGCTTTAATTTTCCTTCGACAACATCCGATGAAGTCAATTAATAACATTGTCATAATTTAATTTAACACGATTTGCTTCAAATTCTTCTTAATTGTCTTCCATCGATGTCGATCGACATGCGTTAATTAAAAGGCACTCTTAATGGCCTCATCATCGTCCATCATGATGAATTATCATAAGATGTTGTTTTGTGTTTTTTTGGTAATATAGTGCCAAAATCGTGACTGTTTAATTACAAAAATCATTCTTATTGGACATTAGCACATGTATTTTGCGGAAAAATCGAGATCTTGTCAGTTAATTCTCAGTCAATTTTAGGTCTTAAGTGATCATTTGAGGCTGAATAACAAAAATAAATTAATTTTACTGAAAAAATAAGATTAATGTCGATAATTGACGAATGATTTTCGAGGGAATTTTAAAATTAGAGCTATTAATTATAAATTGTGAATTAAAAGGAGCTAGTAACTAGTGAATATTAACTTGTAGACTGGTGAACTAGTCAAGTATAAACTTCTCAAGTATAAACTAGTCAAGTATGAACTAGTCAAGTAGTGAAGTAATCAAGTAGTGAACTAGTCAAGTAGAAAACTAGTCCAGTATTGAACTAGTAAAGTAGTGAACTAGTCAAGCAGCAAACTAGTCAAGTAGTGAACTAGTCTAGTATTGAAATAGTCAAGTAGTAAACTAGTCAAGTAGTAAACTAGTTAAGTAGTAAACTAGTCAAGTAGTGAACTAGTCAAGTAGTGAATTAGTCAAGTTTTAAGCTAGTCAAGTAGTGAGTTAATCAAACAGAGAGCTAATCAAGTAGCAAAATATTCAAGTAGTGATCTAGTCAAGCAGTCATATAGTGAACTTGGAGACTATTAGGCTATTGATTAGAAATGGCAAGAAAATGTGACTTGTGAACTAGTGGAGTAGTAATTGGACCAGTAGTTTAGCTACCAAGCCCCTTCTCCAAACTTCTCATAATCCTCATTTCAATGTAATTCATATCAATTTTTTTTTGATAACGACTTTACCTTCTTACTATAATGCAACCGCACTAATTTATCTTATCAAGAAAGCCGTTCCTTATCACCGTCATTAAAAATAGTAATTGATAATTTTTAATTCAGTCATAATCGAACACGTTGACAATAAACATGAAGTTTCGAGTTTTTATTTTGTTTTTATTCTTAATTAGTCAAATAAAGGCAGCAAATATTCTAGCTATATGGCCGGTCGTGAGCCGAACACATTTTACACTTGGAATGACATTGTTTGAGAAGCTAGCTGAAAATGGACATACAGTGACACTAGTGAGCCCATTTGATCAACGAGAGTCTCATGAAAATATTAAGCTAGTAAAGCTTGCTGGAACCACAGAAGCTGCAATGCATGGGAACAGGACTAGTTTCTTGGAATTGAAAGATTTATCGATTCTTCAGACTTTAAATGAACGAGTAAAAAATGGAGCTGCAATGGCTGAATTTACAATTCAGCATGATAAGTTGTTGAATGTTTTGGGCTCTGGAGAAAAGTTTGATCTTTTTATTTATGATGCTTATTACAATGATGCTTTGCTGGCGTGAGTTATGAATTTGTATAGATTTGAACCTATAAGTGAGATAAGGCTGCGTAACCTAGCTTTTTTTAAAATTTGGGCTCAAATCTAGTATTTTAATGCCTTATTAATCTAATCCTTTTAATTACAGCATCGCATACTTCCAGAAGATTCCAGCAATTGCTTTCAGCTGTGTTGGTCCAAATCAACAAACCAATAAAATGACAAGAAATCCAGTAAATCCAGCTTATGATGTGAACATGCTCCTGGGATTAAGTGATACAATGAGCTACATGAATAGAGTGAGAAACACAGCCGTGACATTGGTTGAGCTCTTTCATTATTAGTAAGTATTGATCCAAGAACCTTAAAAATGACCACTAACTTCCAAAATTAAACAACTTCCCATTCTACAGCTTCATTTACATCCCACAACAGAACAAACTCCTTAAAGACAATTTCAATGACTTAGAAGACCAAAAAGTTCCAAATATCCTCGATTTAATTAACAATGTCAATTTAGTCTTCATAAATTCACATCCACTAATCCAACCATCTCGAGTTCATCCACCAAATAGCATAGAAGTCGGTGGAATGCAGTTAAGAACGCAAAACAAAGAAATCCATCAGGTATAAAATAATTTCTATCAAAAAATATTCATTGATAATAAAAAGAAGTAATATCCTGCAGGATCTCACCAACATAATGAACAAAGCAATGTACGGCATAATTTACGTCAGTCTTGGAGGAAATGTTCGTTCGATAGATTTACCGAAAGAAAAGCTTGACATATTTATTAATGTGTTTACATATTTAAACTCAAAAGATATTGTCGTATTATGGAAATATGAGGGAATAGATTTAAAGGAGAGACAGCCACACAGCACTGTAATTGGTCCATGGATGCCGCAACAAGAGATTCTAGCACATAAAAATCTCCGTGCATTCATAACACTCGGTGGTCTTTTATCGTTGATGGAGGCTGTTCATTATGCTAAACCAGTTATTGGAATTCCAATTTTCAACGATCAGAAACATAATATGGCGCGAGTAACAAGTCAGGGCTATGGCATCCAACTCGATTATGACAATTTAAGTGAAGACATGTTAAGGATGGCAATTGATAAAATCTTTAATGACACAACTTATCGTGATAATGCTGAAAAGTTGTCGGAGCACATCAAAGACAGTCCAATTAAAGCGATTGATAAAGCAGCTTGGTATGTAGAGCATGTAATAAAGACGAATGGAGCAAAGCATTTAAGAACAAAAGCAACATTGTTATCATTCTGGAAAATTCATTTTATTGATCAAATTCTTATGGCATTAACATTCATTACATCTGTAATCATAACTTTATTATCGATCATGAAATACTCAAAGGTAAAATTCCAGAAGCGCAGAAAATCACCGCAGCATACAATCAAAGGTAAAGCGGCGACGTCGGTGCGAAAGAACAAATTTAAATCAAATTAATGTTGCTCCAAAAAAAAGAGTCAGAACTCTCTGCATGCACTTTAGGGGGATAACAACGTGGTGGGAGAGTTTTGCTTGAGAATTTCTCAGCTGTTCTTAGCGTAGCTGCAGTTTCTCAGCTTAGCTGTAGTTTCTCAGCGTAGCTACAGTTTCTCAGCTTAGCTGCAGTTTCTCAGCTTAGCTGCAGTTTCTCAGCTTAGCTACAGTTTCTCACCATAGTTGACCGCAAACCCCTCGACTAAGGCTTCACCTTGTAGTGTTTGAAATTCCCCATCATGTTGTTATCCCCTTAATAACCTTACATACACATATCCGCATGAATATATGGATTGTTGATATGATGCAGCAGAGAAGAGAAAAAAAACTCTTTTATGAGTCGGCAAAACATCAAAGAATGAATATTTGTTGTACTTTAAGGAGATTGTGGAATAAAAAAAATGCACAAACATTTTTCTCTTTCATCTCAGCTTTAAAATCTTAAACATATTTAAAAAGAATGCATAAAAATCTTTATTATATGATTCTTGCAACACCTTCTTTTATGAATGAGTTCTCTTTTTCTCCTCTCCGTCAAGACACCCAAGAAGTCGATGCAGAAAATGTTCATTCTCTTTCTATGCTTTCTGTTCCTTTAAGAATAAAGTGTTTTCTTTCCGTTTGCATATAATTGGATGTAATTGAAGTTCATAATAATTATGAGATTTGTCGCGGTTTTTTCTCAATGTCGCTCGTTGATCAAATAAATGTGAATAATATGTATCCTCGATTCGAGTAGATTCGATTTGAATAGGATTTTTTTGGAAAAAAACACCTTGTCAAATCGAGGACCCCCTTTATTAATGATTAAAATAAAAATATGTTAAATTAAACACAATTGGGAATAAGCTGACTGCATTGAGTCTATGAAATAATAGATAAAGAGTCGTTCATTTATGACGTGCAACATTTAGGGGGGAGGAGGGTCAGGAAATTTGTGACATCGAATTTTTCTGTGAGAAAATTATTTTTTTTTTGTGTCTTTGATTGGACGACATTTTGTGACAGACGGGGGGAGGGGATTTTAAAAATTATGTTTTTTGATAGACGTCATAAGTGAACTAAGGCCCCTAAAACGTTTGGCTCAAATTTTTCTCAACAACACTGGTTGAAAGAACGAGTCAGCAATAAGAAGTTAAGCAGATGATAGCTAGAACGAAGCTACAAGATGCTATAAGGATGCAATATTAATACAATAGCCCTAAAAGTATCACGTTGTGCCTATAGAGATTAAAACAAAGGCTGTTAATTCGAACTATATGGCCGGACTTGAATGAATTGAGTTCCTGGCAATATCACTAGCTGTTCTGATTGTCTATTTATACGAAATCTTTTCTTTACAAAATAGCCTCCATTAACTGTTTCACGACACTTAAAATTCTGTTTTTGAGCAACTTTATATGCTTTTATAATCGACTTTATTTGATGGAATGCATTTGCATTATCAAGTTTGTCTTTTCTGCTGAAGATGTATTTTTGGATCCACTTGTGCAGTTTTGGTTTCTTAACTGGGTTTCTATTTTTATATTCAATTCTATCAGACATCAATATATGCAGAAGTAGTTCATTAAGAAGCACGAGTAAACCTATTAAACATCCAATCCCTAAAAGAGAAGCTGGTACAATCATATCTGCATATTCAGTTAATTCTGACTCGTTTTGTCCACATCCAATTTTATGTCTTTCTTGATCAACAGAGTTTATTGACTTCCAAAAATCGTAAATTCCAGATTCCATCAATTTTTCGAAGAATGCCTTAAATTTGTCTATGAAAAAGTATCCACTATTGACATTATAAGTTTTGTAAGTTTGAGTTATAGTCATTTTGTCAAACAATTGCCGTCCATTGTGGTAATTCCTAGAAGACATTGTAAAATGTTCAGCGAAGTCACAATTAAGGATGTAGACTAAATTTGCATCCAAATCTTTAGGTATATTCAAGTTCAAATTGTTTGAGACATCAATAAAGCTCAATATTAAGTCAGGACGAATAATTGGCAATCTACTCTGTTCCACTACTTTCTCGTTATAGTATGAATGAAATTTAGTGTTCCTATCATTAAGCTCTTCAATACTTTCAGCTGAACGCCATGTAGTGTCACCGAATTTGTATGAAATTGTAGTTGATTCATACATGTTGACTAAGAAGAATGAGCTGACTATGAAACTATAAACCAGGATATTCTCACGAAGTGTCAATTTATCAGCACTTGATGACCCCAAATTAAGAACCAACTCAAAAGTTGCAAAGACAATCGATGTTAATGACAAATCGATTGTGATAAGTTTCCAGCATACGATGACTGAAACTGTTGATATAAAAGTCATAAGTATTGACACAGAATCTATTGGTATAGCGAATCCTCCACGGACTGCAATAGGAATATTTCGAGGTGTAAGTAGGCACAATCCATCCATCTGATTGAGATAAATTGACTGTACATTAGGCCTTAAAATATTCAGCTGTGTATAAAGGCTGATATCTCCATCAGATTCTAAATAATAAAAGATCTTTTCAGATGTTGGTCTAGACTTATCCTTATTTATTATTTGATAAGAAGTTCCAAGCTGTTTGCTGAATTCTTGAATCAAATTTCCATCAGCTCCAATTATGACTCCATTGTTCTCATAGGACACAGGATATGAATTAAAAAACACAATTCGAAGCTTTGACATCACATCTCCTTTAATGATATCCTTCATCATCAAAAACTTATTTTCCTCAGCCTTAAGAAGTGTAATGTCAACCTGCATGTGACCAACTTTTCTAAGTGCTGTACGAAAAGCATCAAAAGTGCCAGAACTTTGGTGGAGCAAAACATAAACGTTATAGTATTTTTGTAGACGTAAAGCACTCCACACATCTACAGCATTTCTAGTTGAGCGGTTAAATCTCAAAATTACAAAGATTTTAATTGATTTGTTAACAAAAATCAGACTAAAATAATCATTGATGAATTTTGCAAAAATGGTATATTCATCTATTAGAATTATAAAATAATCTTTGTATGCATCTCGTAACTTAACGGCAGACAAATCCTTTCCCATGGCAAATGTTGTTGTGACTAATTTAATTTCATTGTGTCTCTCAATAGTTTTATAGAGTTCTGCATAAGTTGACCTCGCCGATCCTGCTAGAAGTATAGTCACATCAATTCGTCCCTTATCAGCACCAACCATCATTTGAACTAGATGTTTACTCAATTTCTGCCATTTGTCACTTTCATCTCTAATCTGTGGAAGTTTTGATGGAATTTTCGCGACATTTGTAGCTGGTTTTTGATCTTTTGTTGTAGAAACATTTAAATTAATATTTGCAAGTAGAAGTGACACAATTATCACTAAGTTTTGAAGCATTTTCAAAACAAATCGAATTAAAACTCTTCCTTTGTCAAATTACTAATACTGAATGTGCTTTTTAATCAAAAATAGAACATCAATCACATTTACAATTGCTATTATCTAATTATAGACTTTTTGTACTATTACTAGCCATTTCTGAAAACTTAATTAAAAGTTCGTACGGATTGTAATGTCATAAAAACGATGTTTATTGTTTGGAATTCAAAAGCAGACTGAAAATTTTTTTCACAAAGGGATAAACAACAAGTTGCAACAGCATACGAATTTCTAAAATAACTATTTCTGTAACATTTTAGAACAAAAACCTAATGATGGAAATTCACAAATTGTGACCGTTAAAGTTTCCTAGTAAACTTGCAATAATAGCCAAACAAAATTCGATATTCAAAACCCCTTTTTCGAAAAATTCGAAAAGTGAAAGTTCGAAAAGTTTCTTATAAATCAAGAAAAAAATGTCGACGATTTTTGAAATTTTGAATTTTTCGAATTTGCATATTTTAATACTCTTTGACTTATAAAAGTCTGTCGAAATTGAATTTGCACCATCTGACAAAAACCATAATACGGGCATTTCAGTCGAAAAAATTTGACATGTTTGTATTTAGTCGACCTAGCCTTTGAATATTTTAAAACCGATCAATTTTAAGATTTTAAGCATTATTAATTACTAGTAATTTTCTTGAGAGATGGTTCTTAACTCCTTGACAAGGAGTTAAGATTACCAAACTTTGTTTTTGCCAGTGTCTGCAAGAAATATTCATGAAAAATTAACGGATTACTTGAAATTCAAAGCAAAAATCAACGGACTTTTCGACGTGTCCGTAGCATGACAAAAACATAGAAATTATTTCTAAAATGTTTGAGTTCTAGCTAGGGTGACCATCTGCGTAGTTTTACAACGGACAGTCTTGTATTTCAAAACCCTGTCCTGTATAAATTTGAAAACTTTGTTCCAGGTCCTGTATTTTTTTCACGAAAATTTCCGTTAATTTTCGAATTTTACTCTATGTCCTGTATTTTTCGAAAAAATTTACCAAAAGTCCTGTATTTTCATGAAAATTAGATGGTAACCCCAGACTTACGCCACCTTATATTCGAAAAAATTCGAAATGTCTTCGAAATTAATGTCGAAAACTTCGAAATTTGAGACGAAAATTTGAATTTTTATTGACCGTTAAGAAAAATGTAAACAAATCAAAAAATTTAAAATCAAAATCAATGATTTAAGCTTCTTTTAACAATGATTTAACTAAATTAGCATAATCTTAATTATGTTTCATCACTATTAAATAGTTCACATTAGAAAAAAGAGCTTCAATTAACAATTAATTAACAAATTTATAATTCGTGAAAAAATTCACTAACACAATTACAACTTTTGTTTACTTTTGATATTTTTGTTCTGAAAATTTTTAAAATCACCAATTCTTGCATTTACTTAAGCATTTTCAGTTCAAAAACATTAAAAATATGTCAAAGATTATTTATTTTAAAGAACTAAACAGTTAAAAGCTTCGAATTATGTTGAATAAAGTTTTTTTCCAACGGTTAAAAAAGATTCAAAATGTTTGAAAAAAATCGGTAAAACTTCTGTAACTGACAATCTTTAACGTGACGTTAGTCTGGGTAACCCTAGTTCTAGCTCTTAATCATTTTCAGCTTGTAAATTATGCGGCTGTACTTGAACAAATCGAAGTCCTTTGTGCTTCTGTTTATTGATTTCTTTAAACAGTTTCATTGCAAAAACATTCCCTTTAAAGTTCTCTCGACACTTTAAAAATTCCTTGTCATTTAGTTTTGAAGGAATAAATGAAAATTGGCATCTTGAAGGGATTGAATGAACTTTTTGTGACTTATTTAATTTATAAATTTTTGTCTTCCTTTTGTAGTAAGTTTTTTGCATCCATTTGTTTAAGTTAAGCTTTTTTCTGGTTGTATGGACATGAAGCTTGTAGCTTGATCTTTGGAGCTTCCATTTTTCCACAACTAACTTGATCATGAGCAAAATTAAAGCTATCAAACAGCCAAAACCTAAGATCGATATAGGAACAATTATCTCAGCCAATGCAAGCAATAAATGATCGCTTTGTAGATCAATCTTGTTATCATCAGTCAATTCAGTCGAATCATTGTTCTTCCAGAAATCATAAATTCCTGATTCCATAAGGTTTGAAACCAGCTTCTTAAACTCATCAATGTAAAAATATCCACTCTTGACATTATAAGTCTTAATAAATTGAGTCACAGAAATCTTATCAAACAATTGCCGGCCATTTCTATAATTTCTCGGTGACTTCATAAAATAGTCAACAACATCACAGTGCAAGGTGTAGACTAAATTCATATCAAGATCATCAGGAAGATTCATTTTAAAAGTATCAAAGACATCAATATAATTTATGATTAAATCACGACGAATCTTTGGCAAATTGCTTTGTTCGACAATTTTTTCATCAAAATATGAATAAAATTTGTTATTGCTTGCATTAAGCTCCTCAAAACTATGTGCTGATCGCCATATCATGTCATTAAATTCAAACGAAATGGAAGTTGACTCATAAAGAGTTATGAGAAAGAATGAGCTAAATATGAAGCAGTAGACTAGTATAGATTCACTTAAGGATAGCTTGTTAATGCTGGAAGATCCAAAATTCAATGCTAGCTCAAAAGTTGCAAAAGCTATGGACATTAGTGACATATCACTTGATATTAATTTCCAGCATATTATGACTGAAAGTGCTGATAATAAAGTTAAAATGATTGACGCACAATCGACAGGAAATTCAAAGTGTTCATGCGATGATACAGGAATGTTTCGAGGTGTTAGTAAACATAAACCATGCATCTGGTTAAGAGGAATGAATTGTATGTTTGGTGTTACAATATTAATCTGTGTATAAAGGCTGATATCTCCTGTAGTTTCTAAGTCGTGAAAGACTTGCATTGTCGTTGGTTTTAACTTATGATCATTCATCACTTTGTAAGGTGTTTTGAGTTTCTTGCTGAATTCTTGAATTAAACGTCCATCGGTTCCAATAATTACTTCATTGTCTACGTACGATAAAGGATAAAAGTCAAAAAATATAATTTTTATAAGATCCAATTCATTTCTTTTGATGTCATCCTTAATCATTAAAAATTTATGTCCATGTGTTTGACGAAGTAAGAATTGAATCTGAGAATTGCCAACATTTGTTAATCCTGTTCGACAAACTTTGAATTTTCCTGATTTTTCATGCAGCAAAACATAAAGATTGTAATACTTTTTAATAATTAAAGCGTTCCAAACATCTATTGCGTTTTTAAAGGAACGGTTGTAGCTTAAGATTATAAATATTTTTAGGGATTTATCCTCAAATATTGGATTAAAAACGATGTTTATAAAGTTTACATAATTTATGACATTTTCACTCAGAAGAATTATAAGAAAATCTTGGAATGTCCTTTGCATTTGAATCTTTTTTAAATCAGCTCTTAAGATAAACATGTTGAAAGTAATTTTAATGTCACTGTGTCTCATAATTGCTTGATAGAATCCTGCATAAGATTTAGTAGTCGTTTCTGCTAAGAAAATTGTCGCATCGATTTCATATTTACGTTTCCTGTCGCTATTGGTCATCAATTGAACTAAGCGTTTGGACAAACCATTCCATTTACTGCTGTCATCTTCTTCTATTCGAATCTTTGAAGTGCTACTTGTTGTAAATTGAACATCAGAATTTAAATAGATAACTTTTACCAGTATGAGAAAAATTACTAATTTTATAAACATCTTAAAAATCTAGCTGTGCTTAAATATAAAACCTCTTTTTATGTCAACGAGCCAACAATGAATATTTTTTTTTGCAATATAGGACATCCCCTTGTTGATGTAAACTTTTTTAATTGTAGATTATTAAGCAAATTTTTGTTGACTCTATGATTTATACAAATCAGTGTTGTCCAAACTTTTTGAGCCACGGCACAGCATAGGGGTAAGTCAGGACCGAAGTTGCACACAACATGTGGCTCATGTTATATACAAAAAAAATTCTACGGTGCACAGTTTGGACAACACTGCATTAAATGTTAAATAAAGTTTTGTTGATGTTTTGACAGTTGTCATTGATACGTACGTAGCCATTTTTAAAGAAAATACCACCAAGGTCAGGGCAACTAGTACTATCATAGTAAAACAAACAGGGTCAGGGCAAGTAATCAATTGAATTTGAAAACATTTGAATCCACACTAACACTATCAAACATTTTCAAAAATAAACATTGTTTTTGTTTGTTAAAAATTGCCTTAATTACAACTAAGTCTTTGTTTAGAATATGATTAAAAGATTAATCATGCTTTAATCAATATGATTTAGTTTTCTGGGGCCAGTTTAAACCGTCAATTAATTTATAAAATGTGAATTTTCCAAAAAATATATTTTTAAGGTGTGCGTTTAGAAATTCAAATTTTCAAAATTTAACGAGAAAATAAGGTCCATTCTGATTTCTGAACACATAAATTTGAACCGTCTGTCACTCCTGGACTAAAGAAAATAAATAAAATAATTAACTTAATAAATACATCTATAAAGATAAATCTATCAACACAACACTCATCAACAAGACAATATGCTTTTTATGGACACTTTTTCTATTCCACTTCACCAAATTGTTCAATTTTTTTAGCACCGCCATCACATAATGGTACGTGGAAATGGATAATCAGTAAAAATTCTTCAATTTCAACTTGTTCGGAGTGCTTTCACATGAAAAGCTCATTCATCAAAACTTCAAATTGGAAGTGTGTTCAATTTCCTGTCATGCTATATGGGAGTTGTGCATGTTTAATGTCTTAGGCTCTCTTCGACTGTCTGTGAGTAATGTATAAAGACGAAGGTCATCCAGCAGTTGGATGAACCGAAAAATTCAATTTCCAATTACACATCATTTACGATCGACCCCAGCCATCAACAATATTTCTTACTTCTTCTTCTTCTTCATTGCCAATAAAGTACACTACAATATAAAACTTGATATGGTGCTTGAATTGAGGAAGAGAAAAAAAATTTTCAATGACAGGAAAATTGCTTTCCATTTAGCTTTAAGACTACAATTTTTTTTTTTGTTGCTGTTGCCATTGTTTAACATGAACAGCAAAGGCGGAGTTTAAATTTATTTAGCATGACCTAGTTTTATCGTTTTAATATGCACAAATATAAATATCGGAATGAGCATGAGCGTATATAATTCTAATTGAATACATCTATGCGTAAATTACGGCTTTAAAATATTTTTAAAAATCACGAATTCTTTTGTGCACGGCAATCGATTTGCATTTGATTGAGTCGTGGAGCTGGAAAAATAAGTATCACTTTGAGTTATATAAAAATCATAGCTCATAAATTGTCGATAATTAATTTATAACAAAGGCAGTGTTAGTGGCTGATACATTTTGGAAACATTCAAATCATTTGACTTTAAGCATGCCTGCATGGAAGTTAATCGTGAGTTTTCAATTAAATCGTGAATGGTAAACGGTTTCATAGAATGTTATGTCTATAATAATGAATTATTGGGGGGATAATTAAAAGATTTTTATTAAATAAATTCAAAGCTTGAGGAGAACAAAAATTAATGTTTTTGAGGTCAATTTATTTATGCTAATTAATTGAAGTTATTTAGCAATGAATGTGTGTGGTGTTGGATTAGAGGTGGAATCTGGGGTATCGAGCCATAAATAGGCGAATCTGTCAGTGCTAGAGTTAAGCGTCTGTGGCTTGAGTGATTAAGCAACAGACCGGATTTCTGTAACACTCTTTTATGAGGACGTAGGTTCGATTCCCAACAGAGACCAATCTCTTAATAATTATATAGTGTTGTCGATATGACAAGGATTTGAACAATGCTAGAGACAATTATGCTCGATACTAGCTCATTTAGATAAAATATCAAGCTATAAGCAAGCTAAATCTACCAAAATAAGACTAAGACTCTAAAGCAGTGATGACCAACTCATGAGCAGGGGCACAAAAACTTTGACAACGCCCAAAAATCGTGTACTTTAAGCGGTTTCAGTCATGACTTACCACTGAGATGTGCCGCGGCACAAAAAAAGGTTATACACCACTGTTCCATAGCCTGTAGTCTTAAATCACAAGATTTGATCTTAATAATAATAATAATGTGAGAGGGTTCCGGTTCCAGCCAAGTGATGTCTTACTACACGTTGAGGCGAGCTGGAGGCACTGCGAGCCTGATCGATGATAGAATCTATAGATTTGATCTTAGTTTCCAGAAATCATACCAAAACTTCAAGATAAACTGCCGTCGGTTAAAATAACAAAATCCATCAAATTAATTAAAATTGCATACATACTAAATGAGACTAATTATTGAGGTAATTTCTTCCAAGAAAAGCCTTCATGTACCACACACTTGAGTAAGCCAGAATTGCATAATGTATGCAAATTTATGTAAATAATCAATAATAAACCCATTAATGCACACATAATAACCGCAAAGCATCACATCATAACATAAGAAAAAGCAAAAATTTCCATATTTTTTTAAGCCTAACAATCGATAAATTATTAACAGCATTGAAAAAAAAATAATAACTTCATAAATCATGACATCGTGACATTTTCATAATCGCTCGTTCACAACAACAAATCAATAAATTAATCAATGTGCTAATGAAAAATTCACGTCCGTACATTTTGTCACCAATTCGCAACACTAATTTATATTCATGGAAATCGCTCAATTGTTTCAAGCCACTTTTTTGCTTCATTTTTATAATTGAAATATCTAAAACCGTCAATAAGCTGCTTTTAAGCTTAATTTTTCAAAACTTTTTTTGATGCGCGTCTAATGTTTGCAAATTTGTTGTTGAATAGAAATATAATTGAAAATTGAGAGAGAGAAAAAAAAACTAATTGTTAATTTCCTTACAAGAGTGTCAACAGTAACAACAGTCATTGAAGCAAATCACCATTTAATTAGAAGTTCTCAAAACGAGGTTAATTGATTTTGGAAACTGTGAAGCCGCAATGGTGCAAATAGCTTTGATGAGTTTTCAAATTGTTTGTCGGAATTAATTTGATAAACTTATTTAAAAACTTGTTTAGGAATTCAAAAAATTCAAAACTTCAAAAATTTAAAAAATAAAAAAATCAAAAATTCAAAAATTTCAAAAAGTCAAAAATTCAAAAAATTCACAATTCAAAATGTCAAAAAATCAAAAAATTCAAAAATTCAAAAATTTTAAAAATTCAAAACTTCAAAAATTACAAAATCCAAAAATTCAAAAATTCAAAAAAATCAAAAAGTCAAAAATTAAAATTAAAAAAAATTCAAAAAATTTAAAAATCTCAGCAATTCAAAAAAATCAAAAAAAAAAACAAGAAAAAACAAAAATTTCAAAAAATTCAAAAATTCAAAAAATTCACAATTCAAAATGTCAAAAAATCAAAAAAATCAAAAAATTCAAAAATTCAAAAATTTTAAAAATTCAAAACTTCAAAAATTACAAAAAGTCAAAAAATTCAAGAATTCATTAATTCAAAAAAATCAAAAAATACAAAAAAAAAATTTTATATTCTAAAACAATTAGCCTCGTTCATTGCTTTTCCTAAACGATCAACATACACACATGTGCTGATTCCACAGTTTAACAAGCAAACGAGTCAATTCTAGTGCGGCAGGTGAACTTTATTTTTCTTTTTCAATTTCTAATTAGCAAATGAAGTGGAAACGAGTCAATTTTGAATGCTGTGACGAATGTTCGGAGTTGAAAAATTAATGATTTCTAGTTTTTCTGAACAGTTGTTGAGTTTTAATGAAGTTTTTATGAATAAAATTGGAAATTAATTGGTGACAAAGAATAGCGGTAAGTAGAAGACTTTGAGTGACAAAGAAGGCTTTGTTTGGGGATTGATGAACTTTTTTGGAAATGAAATTCGAATTTTGTCAATAGCCGTCTACTTTAGTCACAGTTATATTCTATTTGTATGTTAAGATGGCTCCGAAAGCCTTAGAAACCTTTAAATCTGCAAATTCACATCCATAATGCAAAAAAAAATCACATTTAACCTCAAAACCAAATGAATGCTTATCATCATCTCTGGATTAGCTATACAGCTGTCAATTAGTATTTTCACAATGAAGATAATTGCATGCTAATGAAAATCACACGATTTAAATCCTTTAATTTTGTTATTTCACGTCTCATTGATTTGTCGGTGTTTGGAATGATGTCAATGATATTTAAAATTTATGAACGGTTTGTTGTGCCAATCCGCCTATAAAATTCATAATTTCTCATTCTCTTTCTCAATTTTTAATGGAATATTCCCTTCCTATTTCCATAAATAATCTGAATCAGAAAGAAAATTAATGAAAATATAGAAAGAATCCCACACACAGTTACAATTTCTTGTAATAACAGTCAATTATTTGTTTATTATATCTCATGATGTCTTTATTAAACAGTCTTTTAAGATGCATAAAACATTATTTCTTTTCTAGGAAATCTAACACGATTCGAATGATATTTACGCGTGAGAATGAATTATTACTTATTATTTTACTTTTATGAGTTCTTTAGCATCTTTTGTTGAATAATTATACAGTTATAGTGTTTAATGCTTTTGATAGGAAATGAACAATTTTTAAGAAATAAAGGAAATTTGTATTTTGATCGCTGTTATGTTGTGGAAATGAATTTAAATATTTTGATGGTTTGGATAACTTTTAATTGTTCTAGTGTTCTAGTATACTTGTCAGTTGGTG